TTGGGAATAGGGGTAGGTTAGCGAGGTTGTGAGGTAGAGGGGGAAGGAGCAGGTTCTTTAATTGTTAAATTGGTCTTTCGTTTCTTAAGGAGGCTTTTAATGTGTTTAGACATGGTGAATTCTCGAAGATAATAGCTTAACAATCCAATCACAATACACCACAAACACCACAAGAAACATCAACCAACAATTCAAAATGCCTCAATCACACTCCTTTACCAACTCCGTCAATCAACAACTCAGTACCAAAATCAAACAATCCCAAATTTACACAATCACCACCAATTCAAATCAACAATTGCTGCTCAATCATACACCAATCACAATGAAACCAATAACCAATTCTCAACAATATCAATGTCAAACTACCAAAAATCCGACCTCAACAATTCTCAAAAATCATGCTCAATTTAGCTACAAAAACATCAAACAACACAAATGTGAGGCAATAACAATCAACAACAACATATATAATCAACCAAAATTCAACATCAATCATCAAAATTACCAAAATTAATACTACTACTATTCACAACCATCAACAATCCAATACTTGCAACTATATGATATAATTATGAAATTAAGAATAATAGAAGATGTTTATACCAAAAAAGATGCAAGATTGAACAAGTTTTGGCCACAAATTCCCTCAAGAACGAAAAAAACCCAATTTTTCCTCAATAATGGAGGAGAGAGATTGGAGATTGTTATGGAGCAAGTTTGGTTCCCCCTCCTCCAAATGGTCCTCACCTAACCTCTCTCATAAGCTTGCCACTTGTTGATTTATATCTAGTTTGATTATTTATTTTATTTTAGCTTTAAAATAAAATGGAAAAATCAAATTCTCCCACATTGATGGGAGAGCCTTTTTAATCTCTTGTTTTCCCTATAAATACCCAAGTTGGGGTATTGGGAAAAACACTTGAGTGAGAATTGAAAAAGGCATCACCATTGTGAAAACCTTTGAACTCATTTAATCACTCGGGTTTTGGTCGGACCTTGCTAACTCCAAGGTAGCGGACCTAAAAAGACGGTGTTCGCCCTTTGTGGGTGGATACCGTTTGAGCCTCGGTATTTTCGGAGCTAAAGCTTTCAAGTAAGAGCCCATTAGGTCGGGTGAAGCACGCGTCAAATGTAAATTCCGATTTTATCCTTTTATGTTTATTTGTTATGCTTTATGGTTTTATTAATTGCGAGTGGTTCTTTGGGTCGGGATCGTTTCCGCGTTAAGTTGGAATTACCAAACCCCAATGATGAGTGTCATTTAATGTACTCATAGGGTAGTCTTTTGGGGTTATTTCTTTCTCTTACTCATGCTTTCTTCTCTTATTTTTGGTCCTTTTTCCTTTAGTTTCTCTTTCTCCTCTTTTCTTTATGGTTCTCGTGTTTTTCTCGTGTTTTCCTTTTATTTGGCTCTTTTTGCCTTTTATTTCCTTTCTTTGTTTGCTTTTGTAGGTACTTAGAGAATCACCTTTGCAAAGGAATCAAGTTGGGACACTAATGACCAAGCAAGGAAGAAGCATTTGGCTAGAGAGGGCTTATAGAGGCCTTGGAGAGGCCTCGAAGAGGTCTCCAAGGTATTGCTAGCAAGCCGCGGGCGCGGGTCAGTGAAGTCGCGGGCGCGGGCTCAAGAAGCACAAATGGCAGATTTTGGCAGGAACTTCCCGCGGTTGCCCCGCGGGCTCTCTGCGGGCGCGGGAAACTTGGAGAGGGCGCTCCGTCTCAGAGAGACCGCGACCCCCTGATTGAGTTTTGGGAGCAGGGGATTAGCCGCGGGCGCTGCATCTGTGGCCGCGGGCGCGGCATCTGTGGCCGTGGGCACGGGTTTATACTGCCGCGGGCGCGGGTGTTGCCTAGATAGCCCGCGGAGGGTTCCGTACCCATTTCTCCGCGGCCGCGGGTTCATCGGGAGAGGGCACGGGATTTGCCGGTTTCTTCTTTTCTTATAAATAGAATTGTAATTCCTTTTTGAAACCAACTTTTTGATAATATTTCATTAGCTTAGTTTTAGAGAGAGAATTTAGAGAGAAGTTAGAGATAAGTTTTTGGTTTTGGATTTGTAACTCAACATTTGATCAATCAAGTTTGGATTTCTTCATTTTCAATCATCAATATTAGTGAGAATCTCTTCCTTCTTTCATATCTTACTTTCTTGCTATTTTATTTATGTTTGTTGCTTGTTTTTCTTTGGATTTGAGTTTGATATTGTTGAATATTTTTATTTCTCTTAGATTTTGATATAGTATGATGATCAATGCAATTTCTAGTTATTTGTTCTTGAATTTCACCATGATTAGTGAGTAGATTAGTTGCTTGGGAAAGGGGGAAGCATGTTTGATTAATGAAATTGCTAGTTGATGCTCTTTGATTGATTGAATTGTTGCAATTAAATTGGTTGACATAGTTTTGCATGTGATTGATTAGAATAGGAGTGATCAACCTATAAGATTAACCTAGATTGCATTGCAACTCTTAATGACTTGAACAATTGATTTGAAAGTTGCTCTAATTGATTGGGTTTGCTTGTGATTCTTCTTGTTTTGTCTTTCATAGTGACTCCTAGATTGGCCTATAAGAGATAGCATTTGAACTCTCTTGGTTGCTACTATTGTTTGTCCATTGCAATACTTGAATTAATTGATTGAGCTCTAAACTAGTATTATCATTGAACTTGCATGTGGAACCCATATCCCTAGTGTTTAGACCTTTGATTTACTTGATTAGACTTGTTTTAGTTTACCCTAGTGCCAACCATAATCTCAACTCCATCTTCGAGGTAGCGTGACTTAGACTCTAGTTTTCATCATTGCATTCCCTAGGGATCGACCCTTAACTTGCCCTATATACATATAAGGTTAGTTAGGTGTTTACAAATTTAGTTTGACTTGGGGGAAGGGTAGATAACGACATACATTTTCCTCTTGTCAAAATGGCGCCGTTGCCGGGGAATGCTATTGGTGCTTAGCTTTTGTTGTTGAGTCTACTTCATTTTAATTGAAAAATACAAAAAGAGTTTATTTCTTTAGGCTACACTTGTAGACGTGCTACTAATATTTTCTTTGAGTTTTGCATGCATAGAGCTCGTGATCGATCCATTGTGCCTTTTGACCCGGAAATCGAAAGGACTCTCTCAAGGAGAAGAATAGCTAATCGATCCTTGGGGTATAGTTCTTCAAGTGAAGAAGGGATTGAAGAAGAGAAAGGCATGGGAGAAAATCCGAGAGTGGCCTTGAAGGGGCTAGGAATACCCGGTGCATATAGGTTTGAGAGCGGTATATCTCCGCCTACAACACCGGCAAATGATTTCGAAATTCGGCCGGCCATGATCACCTTAATTGAGAGGAGACAATATAGTGGGGCTAAGAATGAGAGCCCGTTGAGCCATCTTAAAGAATTTGAGAAATATTGCAACACCATCAAAGTCAACGGAGTTTCTCAAGAGTTCATCCGCCTCAAGTTGTTCCCCTTCTCTCCCATAGGAAGATCCTTAGAGTGGATAGATAAAGAGGTGAAGCCCAACTCCTTGAGAACATGGGATGATGTTACAAAGGCCTTCTTGTCCCGCTTCTACCCTCAAAAGAAGACGGCGGAGGCAAGAGCCTTGATTCAAGGGTTCAAGCAAAGGCCAAATGAAAGCCTTTACGAAGCATGGGAGAGATACAAAGAGTATCAAAGGGAGTACCCTCACCACGGAATCCCAACATACCAAGTGGTCCAAATCTTCTATGATGGTTTAAGTCCCCAAGGCAAGTCATGCCTTGATGGGGGGGCCGGGAGTCCTATCATGAACAAAACCGAAGAAGAAGTGGTGGACATTATTGAGGACGTGGTGACGTACTATAGAGATTGGCAAGATGGGGAGAGGGACTCTTCAAGCAAGCAATCTTCATTGTACTCGGTGGACCATCTAAATGCGATCAACAACCTTTCCTCCCAAATGACAAACTTGGGAAAGGAGGTGACCGCAATCAAAGCCAAGTTGGAGAGCGCTTCTTCTTCTTCTCGAGCTTCGAATCTTTCCTCCCAATTTAAGGGGAGAGGTACTCTCTCTAACTCTCAACCCCCTCCCTCTTCACATAATATGCCTATGGGTTGTTTGTTTTGTGATGCATGTGGATCGTATGATCATGACTCTAGTAATTGTCCTAATGAATGTGTTGATAAGTTTGATAACAATGAGAGTGAGCATGTGAATTATGTGTCAAATAATAATGCTCAAAGGTTTGATAATCAAAGAGGTCAATGGAATAGGAATTACCAAAACCAAGGAATTTTGACAACTATAACCAAGGTGGTGGTTATAGAAACTAAGGGAACGAAGGTTCTCGTGGTAGCTATAATAACCAAGGTTATAGTTGCCAAAATCAAAGCCAAAATTATGGTAATCAAAACCAAGGTTATGGAAATCATAACCAAGGTAGTGGTAATCATAATCAAGGTGGTGGTAACCATAATCAAGGTTATGGTCAAAATCAAAATAAGGGTACTTGGAACAATCAAGGGAGGGGCAATTTTCAAAATAATGCTCAAAGAGGTCCCCCACCCGGATTTGTTCCAAAGACTCAAGGTGAAAATTCCTATTCACTACCTTCTTCACTTAGGACCAATTTGGAAGAAATAATTGAGAATCAAACCAAGTTGTTGAACACATACATGGCCGTTAGTGATAAAAAGTTCAATGAAATGATGACCCACAATAAAATGCTTGAAAACCAAATTTCTCAACTTGCTAATGCTTTGAAAGATCATGCAAGCCCTTCTTCTTTACCTTTCCAAGGTCTTGATCCCAAGAAACCCGTGAATGCTATTGTTACAAGGAGTGGTAAGGTTCTTGAGGAGAGATTGCCTAGGAGGGGTGAAGATAAGGAGATTCCTAAGGAAGCCTTGGTTGAGAATGAGGGGGATAGGGCATCATTGGATGAGGTTGTGGTTGAGACACCTAGAGAGGTGAGAGTAGAGAAAGAAATTGTGAAACCCAAGCTCCTTTCCCACAAAAATTCATGAGACACAAATTGGATGAACAATTTGGGAGATTCATTGATATGCTAAAACAACTTCATCTTTCTCTACCTTTTACCGATGTGATCAACCAAATGCCAAATTATGCCAAATTCCTCAAGGACATTTTGAGTGGGAAAAGAACTTGTGAGGTTGTGGAGACTATCAATTTGGCCGAAAATTGTAGTGCTATCATCATGAACAAAATGCCACCCAAATCGAAAGACCCCGGAAACTTCTCCATCCCTTGTGCCATTAATAAGATGCAAATTGATAATGCCTTATGTGACTTGGGAGCTAGTGTGAGCATAATGCCATATTTGGTTTATCAAAGACTTGAACTAGGGGAACTCTTACCTTCTAACATTACCTTGCAATTAGCCGATAGGTTAATCAAGTTTCCAAAAGGTAAGGTAGAAGATGTTCCATTGAGGGTTTGGAAGTTTGTGTTCTCGGTGGATTTTATTGTGCTTGAAATGGATGAAGATGCTACTATTCCAATCGTTTTAGGTAGACCCTTTCTTGCTACTTCGGGTGCTATGATTGATGTGAGGAGTGCAAAGATTTCCTTTAAGGTAGGAGATGAGGTCATTGAATTTGATTTGAATGAAAGCATGAAGTATCCATGTTCTTCTCTAGAAAATTGCATGATGATTGATTCACTTGATCATGTTGTGTCTTCCATGCATGAGCACTTGCTCACCTCTAACGATGCTCTTGAGAATGTTTTGTTGAACAAGGACAAAGTAGGTACACCATGCAAGGAAATGGCATTCTATGAGGAATTGCTTAATGGAAGCATGGATGGAGGAAGTGGATGAGCAAATGTGCTTGAAAATCTCAAGCCAAGATGCTTTGCAGGCGGCCACATCAAAGGAAGGTAATGGTGTGCCTATGGTAGAGCTCAAACCTCTACCATCACACCTTAGGTATGAGTTCTTGGGACCTCATTCCACTTATCCCGTGATAGTTAGTGCATCCTTGAGCGTGAGCCAAGCTCAAGCGTTATGTGGTGTTTTGAGAAAGCACCAAGGTGCTTTGAGGTACACAATTGATGATATTAAAGGTATAAGCCCCGCCTTGTGCCAACACCACATAACACTTGAGGAAGGCGCCCTTCCTTCTATCGAACGACAAAGAAAACTACATCCCCAAATGGGAGAGGTAGTTAAAAAGGAGATCACTAAGCTATTGGATGCAGGAATCATATTCCCCATCACTAGCTCAAGGTGGGTCTCTCCCGTGCATGTCGTTCCAAAGAAGGGGGGCATGACCGTGGTTGAGAATGAGAAGGGTGATCTCATTCCAACTAGGACGTTCACGGGTTGGCGGATGTGTATAGACTATAGACGTCTAAACACATCCACCAAGAAGGATCACTTCCCTCTTCCATTTATTGATCAAATGCTTGAAAGACTAACAAGGGACAAGTTTTATTGTTTCCTCGATGGATATTCGGGATTCTTCTTAATCCCCATCCACCCTGATGATCAAGAGAAAACTACCTTCACATGTCCTTATGGGACCTTTGCCTATCGAAGAATGCCCTTTGGGTTATGCAACGCACCCGCTACATTCCAAAGGTGCATGATGAGTATTTTCGGGGATATGTTGGAGGAGGAAATGGAGGTCTTCATGGATGACTTTTCGGTGGGGGGTGTTTCATTTGAGGAGTGCCTTGTGAACCTTGAGAAGTGTTTGGAAAGATGTGTGAAGGTCAATCTTGTTTTGAATTGGGAGAAATTCCACTTCATGGTGGAGGAAGGTATAGTGCTTGGGCACAAGATTTCAAATAGAGGCATTAAGGTGGATAAAGCAAAAATAGAAGTGATTGAGAAACTTCCACCTCCGGTGAATGTCAAGGGAGTGAGATCGTTCCTTGGTTATGCGGGTTTTTATAGGAGATTCATCAAGGATTTTTCACTTATTGCTAAGCCCCTAAATAACCTTCTTCAAAAGGATGTTGAGGTAATTTTTGATGACAAATGCTTGAAGGCATTTGATAGATTGAAGAAGGCCCTAATCTCCATTTCTATTGTTCAAGCCCTAAGGTGGAATCTTCCTTTTGAATTAATGTGTGATGCGAGTGATTAGGTGATTGGAGGTGTTTTGGGACAACGTGTAGAAAAGAAGCTTCACGTGACTTAATATATGTCCAAGACACTTAGTGGGGCTCAAAAGAACTACACAACAACGGAAAAGGAATTTTTAGCAATTGTGCACTCTTTTGAGAAATTCCGTTGTTACTTGTTGGGTTCAAAGACCATAGTCTTCACGGATCACGCGGCCCTCAAGTATCTCTTTGCCAAGAAAGAGTCCAAGCCTAGGTTGATTCGATGGGTGCTTGAATTGCAAACTTTTGAGATTGAAATTAGGGACAAGAAGGGTGCGGAAAATGTTGTGGCGGACCATCTTTCTCGCCTTGAGGGTGATCAAATTCATGATGATGGTTCACCAATTGAGGATAGAATGCTTGATGACTTCTTATATGCCATAGAGGTGAAGGAAATCCCATGGTACGCCGACTTGGTGAATTTTCTAGCATGTGGGGAGTTTCCACCCTCTTTCTCAAAGAACCAAAGGAAGAAAATCAAAAGGGAAGCAAGACATTACTTGTGGGATGATCCCATCCTACACAAACGAGGGGTTGATGGCTTACTTAGGCGTTGTGTTCCAAATGAAGAGGTGCCTAGTGTTTTAAGGATGTGCCACTCGGACCCTAGTGATGGGCATATGGGTGTTTCCAAGACCGCTACCAAGGTTCTTCAATGTAGTTTGTGGTGGCCGCATCTCTTCAAAGATTCATGGGGCTTTGCGAAGTCATGCTACCGATGTCAAAGGGTTGGGAATATATGCAAGAGGAATGAGATTCCTCAACAACCCATTCTTGAATTAGAGGTGTTCGATGTTTGGGGGATTGACTTCATGGGACCATTCCCCTCTTCATATGGTAATCAATTCATACTTGTGGCTGTGGACTATGTTTCTAAATGGGTTGAGGCCATTGCCTCCCCTACTAATGACCACAAAGTAGTGTTGAAGTTGTTCGACAAAATCATCTTCCCAAGGTTTGGCGTGCCTAAGGCTGTGATAAGCGATAATAGATCTCATTTTGTTCACAACGCCTTCCAAAAGATGTTGAGGAAACATGGAGTGCATCAACGGTTCGGCCTTCCATATCATCCTCAATCGAGTGGCCAATTCGAGGTCTCCAAACGTCAAGTAAAGCTCATTCTTGAGAAGACGGTTGCAAGGAATAGAAAGGATTGGTCGAACAAGTTAGATGATGCTCTTTGGGCTTATAGGATGGCTTTTAAGACACCTATTGGTACCACTCTATATTGCCTTATCTATGGCAAATCATGCCATCTCCCGGTAGAGCTTGAACATCGTACCTTGTGGGCCATCAAAAAGATAAATTATAACTTAGCTTGTGCGGGGGAGAAGAGGTGGTTGAATCTTCATGAGCTAGAGGAACTTCGACTTGATGCTTACGATTGTGCTAGCACCTACGAAGCTCGCTCCAAGGAGGTTCATGACAAGTTGATTGAGAAAAAGGAATTTTGTGTAAGTGACAAAGTCCTCCTCTACAATTCAAGGATGAAGTTGTTCCCCGGAAAGCTCATGTCAAGATGGAGTGGACCATTCTTGGTGAAAGATGTTTTTGATAATGGTGCAGTGGAGATTTCTCCTTTGAACTCCTCATCTTCATTTAAGGTTAATGGTCATCGGCTCAAGAAGTACTATGATGGAGTGTTTGTTGGACTTGTTCACAAAATGATTCTTTTTAAGCCACCTTGAGATGATGGTGCACGTCGAGCTAACGACGTTAACCAAAAGCGCTTACGGGAGGCAACCCGAATTCTCATCTTATTTCTCTTTCCTTTCTTTTCTTTTATTTTTCCTTGATTGGTTTTTGATCTTATTTTGAGTTGGTTTTGTGTTTGTTTTGTAGGTCTCCTATTGTCATCACTTGTTGGAAAGAAGGGGTTTGATGAAGAGTTTAGAGTGCAGGGGAGAGGGCTCCCCGAGGGTTTGGAGAGACCTCGGGGGCCTCTTCACCTTTTTGAGGCATTTCAATCCAGGGACTTCCCGCGGTTGCCCCGCGGTCTCTCCGCGGGCGCGGGAAGTTTTGGAAAGGCCTCGGGAGATAAGGAGAGGGCGCGGCCCTCATTTCAAGCAAAATTGAACTTCAATCCAGGGACTCCCCGCGGTTGCCCCGCGGTCTCTCCGCGGGCGCGGGAGAGTTACTGCGGGTGCGGCAGAGTCGGGAGAGGGTGCGGCGAACTAGGTTTGTTATATCCGGGCGCACCCCCTCCTCTCTCTCTCCTCTCTTATTTTCTCTTCTTCTCCTTATTTTTCCCATTTCTCTCTTTACCTCCTCTCAAACCCTAACCCCAAAGCATCAATTCCTCACTTATTTCTTCAAATTTTGCCTAAAAGTTTCACAAATTCTTCCATATTCCTCCATTTTCATCACTCCTACTCTACTTTCTCGTGGTTTTTCGGGAAATTTCGGGTCTTTAAAGTGCTTTGAGCTTAATTTGAGTCTCCAATCTTGGTATACTTCTAACCTTTGTATTATTTTTGTCAATTTCAATTGATTTCTTTACATTGGTTTGTTTACCTTGATTTTGAGCATGATTTTTGTGTTTTATGGTTGATTTATGGGAAATTTGGTATATTTGGGTGATTGTTACTTTTTCTTGTTGATTCATGAATATATTGATGATTGATTGTTGATATTGTTGTTTGTTGTTGGAATTTTGGTTGTTGTGTTGATTGGAACAGGTACCTTGTAGTTTGTGGTGGTTTGGTTGGATTTGAAAGGAGGGTTGTGAGTAATTTTGGTGGTAGTTGTTTTGTTTGAGGGGTAAAATGTGAGCCAACATGGAGCGCATGCAATTGAGCATGCAAGGTATGTACTCAAACCACCAAACTTTGTCTTATCAAACTAGCGCCTTGTATGACGCTAGTGTGCGTAGGGGGGAGGTCACACCTCTGGTCAACTACCCTTATGTGCCGCCCCAACAAGGGCCGGTACCTTCCCGGGGTGGTGACAACCTCCCTAAGTACCTATATTGGCCCGGGGTTGAGGACCCCAATGTGGCAAGGCGCGACTTCCCGCCTTATGATTATAGGGTCTCGGGGGGGGGGGGGGGAGTGATTACCGAGGTAATCCCGCATACTACTATGTTCACCCCCATCACCCCGAGCTCCTTGTTAAGCGTGAGCCCTACGACCAATTGACCCAATCCCAACTTGACCTATTCAAGGGTCACTATGGATTTCCTCCCGGTTACACCGGAGGTTGGGATACGGGTGATGATGGTGCCGGCCCTAGTGGCCAATAGTCCCCTTATGCATGTTTGTTGCTTTGGTTGGTTTGGGGAGGGTCAAAAAGGATGTTTTATGGTTGGTTTGGGGGAGGCACCTAGGGCTCGGTGGGAAGTCTTTGATAGGGTTTTTGGTGGATTTTTGCTAATGGTCTCGTTGGTTTGTTGCTTGTTGTTGTTTTGTTTCACTTCATGATGTTTTTGGGAGTTTCTTGAAAAAAAAAATTGATGATGATGGGTTTCTCTAGGTTTTTGTATATAGCTTGTGTCTAAGTGTTTTATCGTTTGCTTTTGTTTGGAAGTTACTAACAATTTCATTTTGTATATATAGCCTTTTTCTTTAACTCACCTTGCTCGTAGCCTATGCTTTGGATTGCGGAGCCTTTTGGAGAAGCAAGTTCCTACTCCTTGGGTACTTTAGTTTAGCACGGACGCTTGGTGAGGCCTTTCTTATTTTACCTCTTTATTTTCACTTCTATATTTTC